GTAAACAAATGAATTTGAAAACTCTTCATAGAACTTTATCAAAATCTAATTATTAAATATAATTGATTTAAAAATCAATTTCAGTTAAAAATAATCAGAATTTTCCTTAGAGTCAGGGAAAAAGTCAAAAATTGTTTTTGAATAGTTAAAATTTTGTAAAATTGAATTAAAAATAATTAATTTATTTCAAGTATTTTGTTACAATTTTTGAAAATCAACTTTTAAAGAATTTTAATTGCAAATTTTGAAAATAATTAAATTCTCAAAAATTTTCATGAAAAATCTTTAAAGGTAAATTTAAAAATGAAAACAAACTTCTAATTTTTTAAAATCCAATATTTTTAATATTTTCAATTACATATTTATAAAAATAAAAACATTTTAAAATTATTTTTAACATTTTGGAGAAAACAATATTATTATTATTTAATAAAAACATTATTATGTTCAAAATTTTTAATTAAAATTCATCAAAAAATTCATTAGTTTTTTAAATTATACAAAAATCTCTTTTAAGAAATACAATTATTTTCGAAAAATTACATTAATAAAATATTTTTAAAAATACTAATTATTAGAATTATTTTGTAATAATTTTTTAAGATTCAAAATTTACTTTTTGGACTTATTACAATTTTTGAGAAATAATGGTCCTGTTTATAATTAAAATTCTTCAAAAATTTGTTAATTTTTATTTATACTTTTCTAAAATTCAATTATTTTTAAAAGATTTTACCAAATTGTTAATTGTTTGGAAATTTTTCAAAATTAAAAGACTATTAGCGTTCAAAAATTATTTTAAAATATTTTAAAAAAATTAATTGTAAGAAATTATTATAATTTTTTGAAAATATACCTTTATGATTTAAGAAGAAACTATGGGGAGTCACAATTATGAAAAAATGAGTTTATGTATTAAAATAATTGAATTCTAGAAGAACTTTTGGAAAATTATTTAAATTAATTGATTCAGAGATGAAGTTTAGTTTGAAAATTGTAGAAAATAATTAAATTCAGGAAGGGTTATAATTGTAATCTTTAGAAATTATTAAAATTTATAAATTTTACTCATTTTCCGTAAACATTAATATTTTCCTACTGTAAAAAGAATTTTGTCAGGGAAAGTAATTTTAATGTCAGTAAATTGTCAGGGAAATTATGATAAATTGAAACGATAATTTCTCTTTTTACTAAAATTTAAAAACTATAGAGAAAATTTGACTACATTCCAATAAAATTAAACTAATGTTTGTTTACTAAAATTTAAAATTTTGTACAACAATTTTACTACCCTCGGAGTAATTATAACTAATTGCTTTCTTTACTAATTTATAATTTATTTATTTTTCCTGTACTAATTAATTTTCTAATTTCTTTCTTTTAAATTTCAAAATTTTAAATCTAAAGAAGAAATTTGACTAAAAATAAATAAATACAATAAAAATAATAAATTTCACACTAATTTCTTTCTATTCCGACAAAAATATAAAATCCCCAACTAAAACCAGTGAGAAATGTCCATAAATACATAGACAAATCCGGAGGATACATACAATAACAAATGAGGGGAAAAAAACAATTTTCCAAAAAAAAAGTGAAAAGTGAGAAATGCATATATACATAAATAAATAGAGAGAAAGAAAGAAAAGGAAAAATTTTCTACTATATGACTCTCTGGTGTTTTATCGGGGCAGGTTAGTTTCTGCCTTTGTCATCGTTGAGCCATTCACTTTGAAATGCATTGTCCGCCTTCATCGTGACAACTATACATATATATACGTATCTTCCGTCAACCTAACGGAAAAGTCTTGGTGCTTAACACCGCGGAAAATCGTTTCAGCCCCCAGAAATGGTGCCAGATATATATATACACACACGTGGGTTCACCAATGCCAAGGGATTTTCACTATAAATGAAATCTCAGATTTCTTTTTATGTTTAATTCGTTTGTCAACATCTATATTCTTTATAACCTACTTCATTTATTTATACAGCGAAAAAACACCCCCGAAAAAGAAAAGGGAAATTTTCATTAATTATATAGGAAAAAGAAATATTTCTCTTCTGAAATATTTTATTTATTTATTTATTTATGACAATAAATAAACAAATATTTATTGTTAAGAATATTCCTTGGTCTATTTTTTTTCTTTTTTTCTCCCTAAATCTGAATTTAGTCCAAAAGGAATGTTTAGTAATTTAGTAAAATTTTCTGAACTGAATAGTAATGTTTCACTAAAAAGTTTAGTAAAGAGAAATAAAATAAGTTTTTTTTTATTTTTCTCCCTAAATGTGAAAGAATTTTTAGTAATTTTGTAAAATTTTCAGAACTCTATTGTAATTTTTCACTAAAAAGTTTAGTAAATAGAAATAAAATTCTAAAGATAATTTTATTTTTCACAATAATTTTATAACTTATGTTTTCTATTATTCTTTTTTCTTTTCTTTTGCAATTTCAATTTCCAGTTTGAGTAATTTTAAATTTTAATTTTTCAATTCAAATTTAAAAATCGTATGACTGTCTGACTTAAAATTACTTTGACTACTAAATAATAGCTCGAAGGAATGAAGAGTAGTTTTCTCTGACTAAACTTGTATTTTATCACTAATGGTCAATAGTTACTTATTAGATTAATTAACAGAAAAAGTACAATTTAAATTTAAATTTTATAATCTTAAATTCAATAAAAATTTCAATACTAATTCGGATAAAAATTTCAATATCAATTTCAATTTTCTTTAAAAATTCAATTTTAATTTCTACTTAAAGTTTATTTCAATTACCTTAAGAATTTTATTTTTAATGCAAAATTATAAGTTTAATTAACATTTCAATTTGCATTAAAATTTCAATATTAAATTCAAGTTTCCTTTAAATTTTAATTTCAATGTAAATTTCATTTTCAATTGCCATTAAAATTTTAATTTCAATATCAATTTCGATTAAAATTTAAATTTTACTGCAAAATTCTATTAAAACTTTAATTTTAATACAAATTTTAAATTTAATAAAAATTTCTATTAAGGATTAAATATTAAATTCAATTTTCCTTCAAATTTTAATTTAAATGTAAATTTCATTTTCAATTGCCATTCAAATTTTAATTTTAATATCAATTTCGATTAAAATTAAAATTTTTCTGCAAACTTCTATTAAAATTTCAAGTTTAATACAAATTTCAGATTTAATAAAAATTTCTATTAAGGATTCAATATTAAATTCAATATTTCCTTAAAATTTTAATTTCAATGTAATTTTCAATTTCAATTTAATTTCAATTTGCATCGAAATTTTAATTTCATTTAATTTCTGAAGTCTATAGTAATTTTTAACTAATAAGTTTAGTAAAGAGAAATAAAATTAGTTTTTTTTATTTTTTACCTCAAGTGTGAAAGAATTTTTAGGAATTTTGTAAAATTTTCTGAACTTTATAGTAATTTTTCACTAAAAAGTTTAGTAAATAGAAATAAAATTCCAGTTTTATTTCTTATTTCTCTCCCTAAATCTAAATTTGTAAAAACAATTTGTAGTAATTTAGTAAAATTTTCAGAACACTAGTAATTTTTCACTAAAAAGTTTTATAAAGAAAAATAAAAATTAAATGACAAATTTTTAATTACGAAATTTACTCACGATTTATTAATCATTTCAAGGAAAACAAAAATTTTTTTTCTTAACGAGTTTTTAGCCATTTCAAAGAAAAAATATTTTTTTTCTCTAAACTATATAGGTATTAAAAACAAAGAAATTAAACTAATTTCGTTAAAAATTTTTTCTGAACTCAATAGGAATTTTTCACTGAAAATTGAGTTTCAAATTTCAAATTTCGAATTTCAAATTTAAATTCAAATTCAAATTCATAATTAATAAAAATGCATAAACGATATTTTACCGATTTAAATTTAGAGTTTTTTTGTCTAAACATTAAAAAAATATATTAAAATTAATTTTGTTAAGTTTGTCAGAAATTTATGTCCATTAAAAAAAGTCTTTGTAAATTTGAATTAGTGACTATATTTTTGCTTTTGAATTAGTAAATTTTAGTAATAAATTAGTAGAAATTTCTATTTAATAGTAAAATTTACTAATTTAAAAGCAAAAAGTCAGTCATTATTCCAAATTATCAAACATTTTTAAAATTTAAATTTAAAGTAATTTTAATAAATTACTATTAATTTTAACTAATTAATATTACTGTTAATTAATTAGAACTAATTTTAATTATTTAATTAATATAAATATATAATATACAACTCTCTAAATTTGAATTAATTAAAAATAATTAATTTAATAGTAAAAAGTCACTCTCTAAATTTGAATTAGGAAGAATGTTACTAATTTGACTTCGTGACTGACGTTCTACATTTAAATTAGTAAATTTTACTAATAAATAAATAGTAATTTCTACTAATTTATTTGTAAAATTTACAATTTATTCAATTTATTCGAAAGCAAAAAATTAGTCACTAATTAAAATTAGTAAACATTTTTACTAATTGAATTTTTTAATTAGTAAATTTTACGAATAACCCGAATAAATAAAAATGTTTACTAATTTTAATTAGTGATTAACTTTTTGCTGTTGAATTAGTAAATTTTAAAAGCAAAAAGTCAATTTCTAATTTAAAATTATGAACATTTTTACTATCTGAATTTGTAAATTATTAGATTTTACTATAAAGCAAATTAATAGTTCTACTGATTTATTAGTAAAATTTACCAAATAAAATGCAAAAAGTCAATCACTAATTCAAATTACCAAACATTTTTACTAATTAAACTTCAGAGAGTAGTTCTTATGTTAACTGTGTTAAAAAAGAATTAAATTTCTAATTAATGTGAAAGGCAGAAAAAAATGCAAGAAAAAACCCCCAGAGTACAATTTTCAAAGGAAGAATAAAGAAACAAAAGGAAACGACAATAAAAAAAAAGAAAACTTCGGAGAAAATAAAGAATAGAAAAAACACAGAAGATATTTGATAGAACCTCTGATAAAGACCTGCCACATGTCGAGGTCACTGATGACTATTCCTGGATCCACTCTTGAATAGTAACAGCTAAAATTCTTTCCTATGATAGCATATTTCTTGTAGAAAATACTGCAATTCAGCATTGGAGGGTATCCACAGCCTTTTACGTTTGGAAACAGTTTCGCACCAGTAAAGTACCATTCGGAGTCATTTCCCATGAGACCTGATGGAGTTTTTATTTTTTATTTTATTCTTTTCTTTCCTTTCTTTTTTTTTCGACCGAACAAGAAAAGACAATCCAAAACTAAACTTAACAATTAACTGGCAATGTAGCTTTCAATTCAATGTGGAACAAATTCCAAATATATTTCTTCCAATTTCGTTTTTAATTAATTTTTTTAATTTTTTTTAATAAATTAATTTCCATCTACAAGCTTGAAATAAATGAATAGGTTTAATAATAAATAAATAAGTTAAATTTTAGTTAATTAATTTGAAACTCCATTTAATTTTTATTTAATTCAAGTCCATTTGTTTCAATTCTCTAGAAAACTATTTTTTCGCAATTCAAACTTTTCTGTCCCATTCAATTTTTTCTTAAATTATAAAATTAATTAATTAACAATTAGTTGATGGAATTTAATCAGTTCTTCATTTTTTAATTATTTAATTTAATTTCGAAGTAAATAATTTAAAAAAATTATTTTTCAATTTAATTTCATTTATTTTCAAATTTCGGAAAAATTATTTTCTTGGCATTTATTTTCGAAAAATTTGTATTTAATTCAAGTTAATTTATTTTCAATTCTCTAAAAAAATATTTTTTCACAATTTTATTTTCCAAACTTTTCTGTCGCATTTATTTTTTTTTTTAATTTTAAAATGAATTAATTAACAGTTAATTTGATGGAATTTAACCAGTTTTTCATTTTTTAATTATTTAATTCAATTTAAATAAATAATTAAACGTTTATTTTCAAGTATCAAAAAATTATTCTTTAGTAATTTTTTTTGCAAAGATTCTTGTGAAATTGAATTTTTTAGGAAATTTTTGTAAATTAATTAATTATTAAAATTTTAATAATTTTTAATTTTCACTTAATTTGATTTCAATTAATTCATTAAAAATTCATATTATTCAATTTAATTTAATTTCTTTTCAAAAGTTAAGAAAATTATTTCCTCGATATTTTTTTACAAATTTTTCTTATTGCATTTAGTGTTTTAAAAATTTTCTAAATTAATTAATTAAATTTTATTTAGCTTCAAGTCTCGGGAAAGAGAATTTTTTAATTAATTAATTAATTAATCCAATTTAGTTAGTTTTTAAATTTTTTAAATTGATATAAAGTCAATTTAATTTCGTTTATTTTTAATTCTCAAGAATGTTATTTTTTCCAATTTCTTTTTGAAAATTTTTATATTTCATTCAATTTTTTCCTTTAGTTTTCAAATTAATTAATTAAAATTTTATAGACTATCATTTAATTTCATTTATTTTCAAGTTTCTGGAATATTATTTTCTCGACATTTCTTTTCGCAAAATAATTTGTCGAATTTAATTTTTTCTGAACTTTTTAATTAATTAATCAAATTTTATTAGTTTTTTAATTATTTGATTCAATTGCAATTAATTATTTATGGAACTATAATTTAGAACGTCAAAACTGACGATTTTTCAAGTAACAATTTGGAAAATTGTCAAGTTTGACGTGGGTGAACTGCAGTTCAATAATTATTTAAAAATTGATACAATTCAATTTAATTTGTATTATTTTTAATTTCTAAGAATAGTTTTTTTTCAAAAAAAATTAATTAATTATGGGAATTTGATTAAAAATTAAAAAAAAAATTACTTTAATAAAAAAATTTATTTTTAGTCACAAAAATTTTTTTTAATTAAAAAATTCCTTTTTATTACAAAAATTACTTTTGATAGGAAAAAAATTTTTTTAATTAAAATTTTTGTTTTAATTTGAAGAAAATGTTTCTAAATTATAAAGAAAAAAAGAAAACAAAATTGAAAGAAACGAATTGAAGGCAAATATTTTTTTGTGGATAAAAAAATACAATTTCCAAATGTCGAAGCAGAATAATAATTGTCATTATTATTTTGATAATAATACCTGTTGGAAATGGTTTGGGAAGTTGTTGTTTATCGTATTCGGCGTCGTCATTGTCCTCGTTGTCGTCGTCATCGGTGAAGACCTCAAAATCCTCGACATAATCGTAGTCCCTTAAAGCTCTTTCGTATCTTGGTTTTATTAACGCGTTTTCGTCATCCTCAACACCTCCTCCTCCACCTAATTGGCCCTCTTCTGCTAATTCGTCGTCCGTTGTATTTATTGGTCGCTTGTAATTAACGCGTATTTGCGTACAATCATACAACTCCTTGGTGCAACCTTCTCTACACGATGTCCATGAGCAGTTACTCGCACCTAAAGATCCATTCTTCTAATCATCATTCGTACTCTAATTTATATCAAATAACTTCCAATTCGCTCAATTCATAATTTTTAACTCTTTCTATATTTTTACTTATTCAAATTTTTATCCCTTTCTATTTTTTTATTTACAAATTTTTACCCTTTCTATATTTTTACTTAAAATTTTTTATCTCTTTCTACATTTTTACTTACAAAATTTCATTCCTTATTATATTTTTACTTGCAAATTTTTATTCATTTCTATTTTTTTCTTATTAAAAATTTTCCTCTATTTATTTTTTTCTCGTTAAAGATTTTTATTAATTTCTCTTTTTTTAATTTTTAGTTCATTAAAAAAATTTTGTTACTCGAATTTCAAATTTGTTTCATTGATAATATTCACAAAAATTTATGTTTCAATCAAATAATCGATTATACTTGACTAGTAAATGTTTACTATGTAAATGTAACTCAAACAGTAAATGTTTACTTGAAAGAAACAATTTTTCTGGCAGAAATTAAAAATAATTTATTTAACTTTTCTTCGACAAATGTTTATTTTTATTATTTTGAACAATATTATTTGTTATGAATAATATTTGTTCACTTATAAATATTTCATACAATAATGTTCGTAAAGAATAATATTTGTCATAAATAATATTTGATACAAAAATATTTGCTATATAAAAATAATTTCGTACAAAAAAATAATTTCACAAACAAAATTTCGTACAATAATATTTGCTATGAATAATATTTGTTGTAAATAATATTTGTTATAAATAATATTTGATACAAAAAATATTTGTTGCAAATGAATATTTGCTATAAATAATATTTATTACAAATAAATATTTGATACAAAAAAATGTTTGCTTGCAATATTTATTGTAAATAAATATTTGATATAAAAAAAATGTTTGCTTGCAATATTTATTGTAAATAAATATTTGATACAAAAAAATGTTTGTTTGCAATATTTGTTACAAATAAATATTTCATGCATGTAATATTTCTTACAAATAAATAATGGAAACAAATAAATAATTGATACAAATAAATAATTGACACAAATAAATATTTACACAATATAATATGGAACAAATTCATAATTTTTATTCAAATAAAATTTTCCTCAGTTTATAAAAAAAAAAATGTTTTAAAAAACTGCCTTTTAAAGATTGTTTTGAAAAAAAACTTTTTTGTAAATATTTTTCTATTTTTAAAGAAAATAGTTTTAAAAAAAATGTTTTTAAAAGCCTTTTAAAAGGTTTGAAGAAAATTGTACTTAAACCCATTAAACAAATTTCGAAATTGAAAAAAAAAATTTCTGTTTGCAGTAGAAAGAAATCTTCCCCTATTTTTTTGGTATCTCATTATTCCGTTATACATCAATCAACACACAAAGCGAATCTTAGACACAAACAAAAACGATTCGTGCATATGAATAATGTGCATTTCGTTAAAGCTGTCAGTTTTCATAAATTTTATACGAAAATGGAAAATAGTATTATTTTTATTATTATTATTACTATTATTGTGACAATAATAGATAAAAATATTTGACAATGTAAAAAAATAATAGTCTTGTCATAATAATAATAAATTCTTTTTATCTTCTAAAAAATCGTATATTTTTTTATACTATGTATGGAAAATTATTTCCGTAATAAATAATTACGAAATTATTAAAATTTACAATCTATGTAATTTTTCATCGTCATCTTTCTTTAATTCTAATTTTTTTCTTTAATTATCAAAAATTATTATAACTCTTTCTCTTATTTTACTTTCTTTCCTCTCTCTCATTTTACTTTTCCCAATAAATTTCAAAAACAAATCCATAAAATTTCAATTGTTCTAAAAGAGAACATTGATTGTTATTGATTTCGCTTTTTTTTGCATTCTCATCTTTTCAAGAAAGCAGTTCTCAGTTCGCTTGTGAATGTATCTCGACTCGTAAAACTATTTTCCCGATTGAAGATTCTGAAAAACCTTTTAAACTTCAATCTATCAAAAGAAAATTCCAAAAATAAATCCCCTTTCAAAAAAGGGAATATAAAATCAGAAATTCCTGAAAAGTAGAGAGAATTTTCTTTTTTCTTTATTGGTTATGAATTTTTTTTTTTTTGTTGTTGCTGTTGCTTTATGATGAAGCAATTTTTCTATTCTTATCCGAGGAGAAATTTGCGAAAGTAGAGTGAATCAATTCACAAAAGTTTCATAGAATTGAAATAATAAATATACATAAATTTTATTAAAAATTATTTGGAAATTATATTAATTTGAATAAATTTACTCTAAATTACATTAATTAATTTCTGTGAATTCAGTAAATTATTTTAATTTTAATCAATTTCCATAGATCATTACTTATTGATAATTATAGATTATATAGATCATTAATCATCGATAAATTAATAACTAAAAAAATAGTGTCAAGTGATCACGATTTCTTTTGATTTACATACGCAAATAACTCGAAAAGAAAATTATAATCACATCCCACTGGGAAATCTTGTCGATAAAAAATAATTAGGAAATGTCTCTGAGAGATAGTATCAAATTTTTCTCTATATATTTTAATAAATCAATAAAAAAGAGAAAAAAATGAGAGAAACTAAATCAATAGTATTACTAGGTTAAAGATTATGTTAGAATATTCGCATAAAGTCACATAGATGTATATATATATATAAATCAATTTTATTTTTTAGGTCAATGTGAACTTTTTTTTTCTCTCCTAATTTTTTCCAGCAGATATAAATTTTTATCTCCACTCTCTTTTTTTTTCTCCACACCAAAATTTTCTGAAAGTTTGAAAAAAAAATTGAAATTTTCGAAAAATGAAAGTTAATGTTAATTTTGAAAATTATTTATTCTCTCCTGAGTATAAAGAAGAGATTTGAAATTATTCGCGCGGGGCTTTTGCTCGCAATTAACAAAACAATCTCTATGATAATGATGATGATGATCAATAATATTAATTAATCAGAGGACAAATACATTTGAGGGAATGATAATTCTCTGTGGAATTATAATATATATTGCTAATTACTCTTCAAATGAACCAGTCATTATGTAATTTGTCATTGACATTTGGAAATGATCCAGTGTGCGTGACTTATGTTAATTTCGTGTGTCACTGCAATTTTAAATATAGAAATTCGTATTTTTTTTGGAACAATTTTCCAATTATTTAAATTTAAACTTTTTATTTCTTTTCTCTTCTCTTTCCCATCCTACACTATTTACGATTCCTTATTAATTAGAAAAAATTATTACGATGATAAAAAAAATGTATTCTATATTATTTTAAACTTAAAATGCTTTGTGCTGTTAATAATTATGAAACGAAAAAAAATTGCTTCGTGATCTATCGTTCTTGGTAACTAAGGACAAAATATGAGAAGATCCTCAATAAATATTTGTCTAACAAACAAGAAATTTTACATTTGTATGTTGAGACTTCTTTTTTAGACACTTGTAATTTGATCACAATTTTTTTTTTTTCTCTCTTTTATCGAAAGAGATGAGAGAAAGTGGATGAATCCTTTTTAAGGCGAAAGGAAATATTTTATTCTCAGATCATATTCCTCTTTGGAGGAAAGGCAAAAATATAAAATATTTCATATACTCTCTAATGAAAGTCAATAAACATAAGTAAACATATAAAATAAAATTCTAAAGAAAAATAAATAAATTAAATTAAATTTTAAACAAAAATAAATAAATAAAATCAAATTTTAAAATAAGAAAAAATTAAATAAATAAGAGTCAATGAAAGTAAATAAAAAACAATTACAAAATAAACCGCGAGAAACATAGTTATACTAAATAAATAAATAAATTTAGAAACAATTTAGAAAAAACAATTCACAAAAGAACTAAATAAATAAAATTTTAAACAAAAAGGAATAAATAAAAAATAAATAAAAAAATAGTAAAAATGATAAAATTAAAATTAATAAAAATTATAGAAACTAAATAAAGTAAAATTTAAAGTTTTTTAAAAGTACAGAATTTTAAAAGTCCAGAAATGGAAAAAAATTTCTTTATAAATAAATAAACTAAAATTTGCTACAGTTGCTAAATTATGATTATTATTGTAACTACAGAAAGAATTGTGTGAAAAATGGAACTCTAAATTGCCATTAAATCACACGAGGAACAGAGAATGAAAATAAAAAAAAAATTGTAAAAAAAAAAAAATGATGGACATTATTAGAGAAAAGAATGAAGATAAAAAAAATGTGGGAAAAAAAAGAGTTGGACATTAATATATATATATAGAAATCGAGTGTTAGTCACAAAGCATTTTAAGTAGAAACAAGCAATTTCGGTCAGCCGATCGATTCCTTCGGCACTTCAATACATATGGTCAAGGGGATAACTGAAGATCTGAGGTTTCTAGGGCAAGATTTGTTCCTTGTTCACTTGAAAATCTTTCAAATCTCATAATTTAAAATTCATATATATTTTTAAGTGCGGTAATTTAAATTTTTTTAATCTACATGCTTATAATTGTATACAACTTAACAATCAGATCTTTTTATAAATTTTTTTTATTTACTTTTCTATTTTATAATTTTCTATACTTAAAAAATTAATTATTTTCTACAATATTTTCAACTAAACTTCATCTCTGAATCAATTAATTTAAATAATTTTCCAAAAGTTCTTCTAGAATTCAATTATTTAAATAAATAAACTCAATTTTTTTTAATTGTGACTCCCCATAGTTTTTTCTTAAGTCATAAAGGTATATTTTCAAAAAATTATAATAATTTCTTACAATTAATTTTTTTTAAATAATTAATAATAATTTTTAAAAGATAATAGTTATTCAATTTTGAAAAATTTCCAAACAATTAAAATTTGGTAAAATCTTTTAAAAATAATTGAATTTGTGAAAAGTATAAATAAAAATTATCAAATTTTTGAAGAATTTTAATTATAAACACGACCATGATTTCTCAAAAATTTTAATAAGTCCAAAAAGTAAATTT